GGTTGAATCTAAACTCTGCAGGGCTCCGGCCCTCCAGGAATTGAGTTTGACACCCCTGGTCTATAGGCTACCATGGTCTGTCTGAATACTCGGTTCTGATTGGCTGGAAGGTGTGCATTAAAACCATGAAATGCACAGGCAGTTCCTATCTTTTTAATCACAGTTCTATACTGAAGCTCACACACATGACTCACACACATAAATCTGAGATCCCGCTGCACGCACACATAAACATCCATGAGTGCAGAAACTTGTCAACACTGCCCTGCAACTTTTATTAATAAAATACCTTCGGTACTGAATACTTCTCAGCAATGATGCGGCAACGTCACTGTTTTTTAAGTAATAAAACTCTGTCTTTTGAGGCCCTGGTGATAGTGCCATTGAGGGCAGCGCTTGTGCCATCAGCCAAAATACTGGCGTATTTCTGTATCTTCACAACTGGAGGGTGTTTCCATATGATTAGCTATTGACACGGCATTGAGTGAACCGATGAAAGGGAAATTTTACTTTATGGGACACTTTTATCTTTGAGTTAATTATCATAAATAGTTAGGTTTAAAATTTTTAAGCAGATCATCAGCAAGTTTGTCACCAATTTAGGGATAGATTATATACCATACACACACAAACACCGAGTTGGTTCTGGTAGATTGGACTTAACTTGACCTATCGTGTGACTGGAGTGGATCTGAGTTTCTGAGCTTGTTTGGCTTCAACTCGTGGACTTTGGAAAACTCTTTGGCTTTCTGTAGTGTCTGTAGATCTGTGCAACTCTGTCACAGTGTTACATGCTTTTTTCAACAGTATTACATGCTTTGTTCGAGGGTACTTGCAGTTGTCTTCAGGCTTGGATTTATTTAAGTGATTCTGCTGCTATTCTCTTATTGTCCATTAGGGGCTCTCTGTTACTAACTGTATTCCTTCTATTCCCAGATCTGTGTAGGAGCCCATATTAAAGCTGTTTCCACATCCATGACTTTAAACCGCAGCATCACTTTTTGTCCAAATTCAGATATTAACCCTTCTAAATAGTATTGCAAGTTTAGAATTAGCACCCAAAATCTTTCTATAAAATATCAAGTTAAAGGTGCACAGATGATATGCATTTTTCAAAATGTATATCCTTGCAAATTTGACCAGCTAAAATTGCATGCATGCCCCCTTTTTCAGGCAAGGTAAATACATAAATATAGAAATGAACTGCGCACATAGCAGCCTTTTTGCAATGACATTATTCCAGTTGAAGCCATAGAAGTGGATGAGACTTTGATGTTGGGTTTTCCTCTGAATAACTCTAAAAGTCACTTTGGACTTCTTTAGAACAGTTTATTGCATTTTGGTATGGTGTACAGGCCGTTGCTTTCACCTTCCCTTTTTGTTCTGTCTTCTGTTTTACTATTTCTATTTAATAATTACCTGTCTTTCTGTATTTTCAGGATGAAACCCAGTAGCCAATCAGCAGAGCCCGAGAGTGGAGAAGGAGAGTCAGAGATGGAGCGAATTAAACAGGTCAGAATTGAAGTCGATAAAAGAATAGCTAAAAGTACCGGAGTACCAGTGCTTTGATACAACATTGATACGAATATATGTTACTGTTCAGTAGTTTTGTTTTTCCTTAAGAAATTCATACTTTTGTCTGAATAATAGCAGCATATATATAGGTGTGGGTGTGTATATATAATATCATCATCTGTACTTCTGCTTTATCTTTACTGTGGACTGCTGACTTATTTCGGTAGCCGAGTACTGTCTGGTTGTTTACTTGATTAAATTACTGAAAAATTATTAGAAATTCTCAATTATATTTAATTAAATCTTTATTTAATTAAGAGACATTAGAAATAATTTTGCAGTTCATGTAAAATAAAAAATAGTACTTTTTTTTTATTTGTGACAACCCTATAGATATTACCATGATTTTACTCAACATGGAGGTATTGCCATTTGAACATGAATTGGTTTATATGTGTCCATCTGATTGTTTAGGAACTGCTAGAGGAGGTGAGAAAAGAGCTTCAGAAGGTTAAGAATGAAATCATTGGAGGTGAGAACATCATTTTTTCCCCTGCATTTCCCTTCCTGTCCCTGCTGTGTTTCATATGAAGATTATTTTCTGCATTAATTTATTCCTGTGTGTCCTTTCACAGCCTTTATTCAGGAGTTACAGAAACGAGGATCTACATAGTCCCACATAAACTGATGGGAAGGGATCACTTGGTCCTGAGAACCCAGGGATACACACGCACACACACACACACATACACACACACACATACACACACCCAGGGACTTAACCCTTAATCGTTATCATTCAACCCAAGATGAGCTTCCTTGTTTACCTGCCTATGTTTTCTTTCACATTCATCCATTTCCTTTAGTTTTACACATTTTGTTTTCCACTTAATGTTTTACATACCGTACACATTGTCACCCTCACGCTTGAGTCCTATAATACACAGTGCATAAATCCTCATCATAAACTCAATACTTGCCTAAAGTTATTGTATTCAGGGAATATAGCATATCAACTATCCCAGTGACTGTAATGGCCATATACAGACCCGCAGAGCTATGATGCAACAATAAGAAGGCAAAAACAAGATGGATCTTGGAGAAAAAGACCTGCAGTACACACTATCTACCACACACACACACCTTATGACCGGACCATCATGTCAGGTCCCACTCTTGCGCTTTATGCTGGGAGATTTTCACATCAGACCTGGTTTAGGGAAAACAAAAGCATATTTTTCACTTTAATTGGAAGCTCAGAGCTTTGTGTTTCATGTGTGTGGATGCATGTTTGTGTTTATGGATGTACGGCTGCACTTGCCTCTGTTTATCAGTGCCATCTTGTATGCGGTCACCTGACCGCCACTATCTGGTGGTGTGAAAGAACTGTTGTCATAGCTTCAGCCCTCATTTGAGATGTTTTTAATTTTTGTGTTGAGTTATGAAATAATATGGCCATGATCATTTTTGTCTTTTGGCCATGCCAAACTGCCTTGGAAAATACATATAAATATAAATATATATTTGTTTTGAGGGAAAAAGATAGAAAACTTGAGATAATGTTTCTATTTTAATTGAAATGATTGGTGAATGGGGATTTATTGTGATTATAATGTTTTCTTTTCAGAGATTGTTATTTTCAGTTTTCTGTTAATTTTTTTTTCTATAGAATATAGGCTTTTTACACTGAAATATATAAAGAAAATTGCGTAGAGACACTGGATTAGATGCCTTTATAGTCAAATACAGCTGCTTCTTCTACTGCACTTGTGTCTGCCTTTTTTTCCAAGAAAAACATATTTTATGGCCTTGCCACAAACACATTTGGCATATTCATTAGATTTTATTCTGTTGATTTAACTGTTAGTGGTGTTTCAGATACAAAAATAGATATGATAATACAGGTTAATACAGGCACATGTATTGTCATCCACACATACTGGGCATAATAAAAACAGCCTTATGAAATCCATGAAACAATTTCTTTGACCATATAGATGTTTGTTTAGCCGTGGCTGAGAGAGCAACAGCAGAAGGATAATGTGCTATTGTTTCCTGTTATGAATGGACCCAAGCAAAGTTGTCAACAACTACTATCTCACTCTGCTTTTAGAAGCCAACCCTGATAAACACATTTGATTTCAGAATAGAAGATTAGAATAACCTCAACAACGGACCAAACCGAGTGCAATAACAATACACACATTTTACAATTCTTCAGATAATATCTGTTCTTTAGAAACAGTTTCAATGTTATTTTTGTCAAGCATGTTTTTCAATATCCACTGGCCGCGTCATATGGAAATAAACAAGGTCATAAAAAGAACCACAGACATGTATCGTGTTATGGTAATCATTTAGTACAAACAGTCCGGTTGCGATGAAGTTGCTTTTATGGACCAGTTCAATAAAAAAGACTTCAGACAAAATTTAACCTGTCACTGCACAATTATGGCTGCTATAGCGTAGTTCGTGCTGGGTAGTAACTGATTACATGTAATCTGGATTACCTAATCAGATTCCAAAAATATAAAGTACTCATAATTAGAGTATATTAAATTTTATAATGCACATTATTAGATTACAGTTTTTTTTTATGGATTACATTAGCCTATATTATTCACACAATGGCAGTGAATTATTCATGATTTATTGATTCTTCCTAATTCTTTTTTTTTTCTTTTAAATTTTAAAATAAATAAAGCACCTCTCAAGCAATTACCATGTATGAAACAAATAATTATGCAAGTTACTAAACACTGGTGATGTATAGCTGTAAAACACTATGTCTTCATCATATCCAGAGTGACCTTGAGTAACTGTTTATTCTGGAAATGTTTTCAAACCTGAAAGACTTGTAATCAATGTCATTGTTTTCATGTTTATTATGAAATGCAGTGATTCCCAAACTAGTAGTGGTGTTTGTTCATGAATGAATCAGTGTTTTCGGCTGAAAGATTCAACGAATCACTCATGGCTGCATCCGAAATCACATACTTTCTAAGCAGGTACTTCTTTTAAATAACTTCAGTTCTACTTTTAGGGCATCAAGTAGGCGAATTGGGACGCAGCAACTTTTATTTTGGTTCTGAACTAAGGAATCAGTTGAGTTAAAGATTAAATGACTCACTCATAAGGACAGTCTCTTGTCACCACCTATGTAACTTGAAGGAAAAAACAAAAACAAAGGAATTAATTTCTATTCTATTCTATTCTATCTCATATATTTACACATATCTGTTGTGATGTCCCATATGATACCACTATAATTAATTGGTACTCCACTGAAAGTTAGTAGTACCCTGGAAACCCTGCAAAACTGTGGCAGATAACCTGTAGAGGGAGCTTATACAGTAAACGTACATTTGTGTTACAACATTGAAATAGCAACCGACGAAACAATCCGGACATTTATGATTTTATTATAAAATCCTAACCTCGCTATCATTGCATTATTGACAAACAGCAACACAAAAAACGGACCTTTTCAAATTTCGGACGTTGCCCGTGCTCCGAGCGTGCGCTGAGGTCATTTCCTGTTTGTGCTCCCGTTGAGTCGCTAGACGGAGGCCTATCCACGATACCATCACCACCGTAATATCTCTCACAGACCTACGGGACGTCCACGACGAGGTTATTAAAAGCCGTAAACGCGTCAAATAAGTGTTGTGAGATGAGTTTGGGCGACCGGGTTCGAGTTTCGGGCCATTGAGGGGCTGGTTGTGAGGATATTCGGGCGGTTGGGTGTTGTTATTTTTGGGGCAGCTGAGTGGACATTGGCAGAGCTCAAAACACAGCAGCTCGCGAGAGGATTAAACATTTCACGTCTCTAAACACCCTTGATTTACTCCACTTACATGGACTTTTGAGGATTTTTTTTTACATTTCAGGTAACCAACACATCGCAGGAGAATAAAAGTGGAGGTAAGGGACTAAAACGTGCATCGATGATTGATGGCTAGCGTGATGTTTAGCCTAGCCCGAGTCTCTGCATTTAAATTGCACTTAAATGTTATGTTTTGTTGCGCTTTGGGATACATTACCTGACAAATCTGTTTATTAATATGTGTTTCTTAGGTTTACCGTACAGATAAACCGCCTCTCCCGTCATGTTTGCCACTCCGTTTTTCTTTACAAATCTGTTTACTAAATAAAAGCACGCTTAAAGATTAATTTAAACCCATTTGGCGCTTATGCTGATCTCTCCCGCGGGGTCCTTGCTTGCTGATCTATTGTAAGTGCATTATTGTGTCTTGACGGAGATCTCAGTCTATTAAGTTAAAAAAAGAACAGCTGAATTAGTGGAAATGAGCGTATATTATCGATCAGGCCATTTACACGCTGTACAGATGCATGTGGAGTTATAGGGCGAACTCCCTGTGCATGCTGTATGATCGATCAAACTGATGCCACTTTGTTTTTGGTTTTATTCATAGAGCTGCCATGCTGTTCCACGTGGAGTTCAGTGCTATTCTGTAGGCATGTTTAAAATATGGAAACTTTATTTAAGGTAAAAGTAGTTAGATGTTTGACAGATATCAAATAATGCATCTGTCAGGTTTGTGCATGTGTGTAAATGAGGCCTGAAGGTTATTGAGGTTGAGAGGGGTCAGGTTCAGGACTTCTCAGTCTGGAATTATTCCACTCGGTACAGAAAGTCTGTAATCATTAGTTTGTTGAAATAGTCACAGCTCTTGTTTGTCTTTCTACTGTGGACTTCAAAGTGCGCGCGTGTGTGTGTGTGTGTGTGAGTGAGAGAGTTGTTTTTGAAAAAGAGGAACAGGCAGACAGACTACTGACCGACTGATACAATCACACTAGATGCACATATATATGCCAGTGATAGAGACGGTCAGTGTGTTTTTAATGCCAGTGCATGTGTTAAGCAGTTGTGTAATGGACTAGCAGGGGCGTCACAAGGTGGGTATTTTACTTTGCAGGGATAATCCAGTGTTGTGCCCATGGTGATAGGACAACATGCCAGATCTGTGCCAGATGCACTGTTATGCCAGGAAACTCCTCTGGCACAGACTGATCGTATACTCACAACAACCCCCCCCCCCCCCCCCCCACCT